TTAGGACAGTTTCTTTTCCATGCTTATAATATTGTTTTCTGATTTGATTTTAGTATTTCCTTATGGAGAATATACATTATAAATGTCTATCAAATGGTAGGAATTTTGTGTAATAAAATATTTACTAGTGATCTTCCAGAAGGCATAACTTTTTTGCATAGATCTCATAGTTCAATGATCCTAGAAGTTAGAACAATTCATATCTCATGGCATTTCTTAGCTTCCAATTTTTTAAGGTTCAAAATGTTGTTTTTGTAGTTTAGCAGAATAAATATTATGTTTTTCATTTATTTTGGGTTGTACCTGAGTGAGATAGGAGTATTATATCAGTTTAGTATTGGGAAATATTCTTAGTAAGCTTAGTCTTATTTTGACATGAAAATGATTTATGAATTAATTTTAGCCAAATAGTGTAATGCAGATTAGGAGTCAATTATAGACTTCTTGCCTCTTGGAAGCCCTTTTGTGATTAGGCAGTACTGTTATGGAGTTGGTTTGTGGTTATTAGCCTATTAGGTTCAAAAGCTATGATTTAATGGATAACTTTTTTTCATTTTTGATTCAAATACTCTCCCCACATTGGATCGATGTATTTTCTTCTCTAATAACTTATTTTCGTATCTTTTATCTTCCATTATTATTTTACTTTACGTAACATATTTCGTATCCTCTATGTACCACTCTTTCATTGATTCATCCTGCATCGATATAGGAGACACATAATGGTGACATTAATTGCTCAAGTATTTGTTGAACCGAATCAAGAAAATGAACAATTTAAACAATTGTTGGTAGGATATAGATGGAGGATGACTCAGTTGATGCTGATAGGTTATAGACTTGTTTACTAAACTTTTCCAAATTATGGCATTGTTTTTTTTTTTTTTTTTGAAAAAGCTCTTGGTATTATTATTCTTCACCTTCGGCGACTCTTGCTGAAATGCTTGGTGGGGGTGGTGAAGGGTTTCCAAGAGAGATTAAATCATCAGTGCAGAATATGAGACAACGAGATAAACGGTCAAATCATAACCCAGTTAGTATGTCAAAGTATTATTTTCTACTTTTTTAAACAGGGAATGAGTCTGCATGTGCATTTGGCCTTTTCCATCAACAAGGTCTTAGTTAGATCACACAAAGAAGGTAGATTGCCAAAATCTTAGTTGGCAATCCATCTGATGTCAACCTTATAAAGATGTTCTTAACCAAGTCAAGCTTAGGCTAAAGAGGGACTTGCCTAAGAAGCTAAAAGCTAATTGGATGATTGAATTCTTCTTTTGATTGAACTAAAGCTCCTACAAATATGGAGCTTTTTTGTAGGTCTAGGACGAGTTTAGGAGGATGGCTCAAACTTTCCTATTAGGACCATATCGCATCCAGTATTTTGGAGGAGCATGATAGTCAGTGAGCTAATGAGATCAAAATTACAAAAAGTCTAGAAGTACCTCTTTGTTGCATTTCTTCGCAACTTTATCTCGTGTTAATGTCAATGTCCATCAACACATAAAGTCTTGGAATGAACTAGCAGCCCTCTGGCCCACCATAGCCTAGCAACCTAGTGGCTCAGTGGCGTGATGTGACGTATTGGCCCAGTGCAGCTTGGCTGTTGCAACCCAACGGGCCACAGCTCAATGCGGCCATCCCAATATGGGCAGGCTTACCAATCTAGCATTATCAGAACTATGTTGGTTCTGGCCGGTTGAAGGCGGTCTAGGGTGCTTCTCGATTTGTTCTGGCCATGTTAGGACCATTTCATATTTTCTGCAAACTGATTCATGTTGGCTCAAGCTGGATTTGTATGATTTCAGTCCAGTTTATACCAGATTTTTAATGGTTCTGGTTCAAGTTGGTTCAACTAAGAATTAAGTTGGCTCAGCTCAGGTTCAGGCCAATCCTGGGGGTAGTGGGCTCAGTACCCCTCCATCTCTTGCTCTAGTGAATTTAAGGGGTTTTATTTGATGTTGTGAATTTTGTGATTAATCAATCAATCTTAGATGTAATTAATATGATATTTTTGTTGCCAGTCATTAACTAAGTTTAATCATCCGCTATTGTGAGTATAATATGCATCCTCTCTATGTTGTTGGGGGATATAGGATCTATCCGATGAAATAATGTATCTTCATCCGCTGTTCGGCATGCACCATTGGATGTCCGACCATTACTGGATTTCACTTGGTATTTGTGCATGTTTGAGCTATGTTGCATAAGACCGTTGTTTAATGATTTTACATATCTCATAAGAATTGTTATCATGAATTAGAATGATTCATTAGTTTATATTTCATACATGGTTTTCTTGAAGAAAATACTTATGTTATTTTACAAGTATCCATGGCATATGAAGTGTTTAATGTAAAGTGATTGAAAATGCTTTATGATGAGTACTAAGATTGTTTCTTTGATGTTGAGGTTTCTGGGAGATTCCTATTTAGTATGATTGTTGAATTATTTTTTTTTCCAATAGAGGAAAATTAGGAGATCAAGTTTTGAATGTTGTTCTTGCATGAATTAAAACGTTTCAAGGAGTTTTTACTTCATTCATACATAGATGATTTGGTTTGATTTGATTTATGTTGAAATAAGTATATAAGTGATTGAGAAATATTGACATTGATTTTTTTAAGAGATATTGACACACCATATGGATTTTCTTGGTGTAAAGTCCTTTCAGAGTGTAACAATAGGCAACTTGCTCCAGATCAAGAATTTCACTGGTTTACGTCATCAGCTAATTTAAAATTCTTTGAATTTTGCATGATTGCTCTGTTAGCTTGATGAAAATTCTTAGTAGGACATGAAGATAAGTGTTGCCTGTTATGTGTATATCTTGTTAAGCTGTAAGCAATGAGTGATAATTGGAAACATGTAATGGAATGTTCCATTGGAACCTAATATAAAGTGATCAGCTACCAATTTGGTTCTGCTTGTGCACATAAGTTTCTGATGATTTTTTTGTTCAGGCTCACAATTCGTTGGAGAAATCTAAAGTTAGAGGAACAAGAAGTGGGGAATCCTGTGTTTCATCGAAGATCGGGCTCCAGTCATCATCTCAAACTGTCCATGCACCTGCTAGGTCAGATATTGTGAAAACATCTCAGGCAGGCAATCTTCAGGTTATAACCTTTTCACCAAAAAGCACTGTCAATCCAAAGCAAAAACTTGACAACAAAGGTGTTTCACCCTCTACTCAGACTTGCTATGGAGAAAAAAGACCCAACACTCAAGCTCAGAATCGTAATGATTTTTTCAATATTATACGACAGAAATCTTCACTGGATCCACCTGAGCTTAGTCAGAAAAGGTTAACGGTGAAGATGAGCGACAGTGATGCCACTGGAGATAAAAATGTTGCCTCTGAGGGGCCCAACAAGTATCTTCTTAACAGTGAAGATGAGACTGCATCTTCAGACCCTGTTATTGCCGGATCTCTTAGTTTGTCTTCTGACCATGTTCTTCTAAAGTGCGTTAATGATGGTGGAGATGAGAATTTATCGTTGGGCCCTACTGCAGCTGTCTCCATGACTGCATCTCCTGCCGTCCGTGGAGAAGTTGGTTCGTCTCCAGATTCTGTTATGATAGCATCGGTTCCAAAAAATGTTGACGAGATAATTTCAGATTTTGTTCCTTCTCCATGCGAGGAGGAAGCTACCTTTTTGGAAAGTCTTGGGTGGGATATAAATGCAGATGAAGAACCACTGACACCTGAGGAAATTGCTGAATTTTACCAGAAGGTGACTGAACTTGTTTGGATTAGTTTCTGTTTGTTAGTTTGTTTTTGGTGTGGAATTAACAGTTAACTATGGTTTCCATTACCTTGTGTAGCATCCAGAGCGGAAGGCATTTTCGTGGCCTGGCCACCACATGAGCCAGTGAGAATGATGATGATGCTGGTTTCAGGCCACCTGTTGATGGAAGGCGACATGGATACATAATCTTGATGAGTCACCGTTAACTGTGGCTGAGATCTCTCATTTTGTTTGGGGGGGGGGGATGGGGGGTGAAGGGGAGTTATAGATTGGCATGGTGGATTTGAAAAGGTGATGAAGAGTCCAGTTGCATTCTTCCATCTTGCTTCGAAAAGAAATGTCTACCGCAAATAAGATGCATTGTTTCAGTCCTTGAACATGTGTATCCTGCTATGGTTAGGGTGCTTCTCAGGATTCTTTTTTGGTTTCCTTTTTGATAGATTGGTTAGAGGTTAGAGATAAAAGTTGAATAGGGGGCTGTCTGATATGAGAAAGTTGCATAGTTTAAAAGCTTAGGGGTTGTCTTCTTTTTGTCCTATCTATATCATCAAAGTTGGGAAATTTCTGGTCCTCTCTTATATATCAGCACCTTGCAACAGCATATATTTTCTTTTTACGTCTCTCCCGACTAAGCTTAATATTATCGCAGTGGAGTCGGTGATGCTTCACTTGTTTCTCCGATGGCTAATCGCTTTCAGAAAGAGTTGTATACACATAATGCATATATTTTTATTTTAAGATAATGGCATATATGAGCACCAACATAAATGTTTCAGAAGGATACTTCAATAATATTGGAAGTATCACTAAGGATAAGTTTGCAAATATATTTATATTTTTAATATACAGTAGGCGAAGGAGATTTGAGTGAATTTGTGAAATGCTTTTAAGTGTGTGACAAAGATTATATATTAAATGTATTATTTGATAAAATTATATTTTTTTTAAAATTATTATATTTTGATATAAATAAATCGAATATATGTAATCCTATAAAAAATTTATATGGTTCAAATATATAAATAAATAATAATATAATCAAATAAATAAAATTAGTAATCTTATAATTTGAAATAGAATTATGGATAATTTTCGAAATAAAAAAATATCAGCTTCATATAAAATATTATAATTTTAGATAAAAATATAGATACTTTCGAAATTTAAAAAATTACATCAGCATCATATAAATGCTGAAATGCGGATAGCGAGAGACACTATGGAGGCTCCTGTTTTGCGGATCGACACGGAGAAACCAAAGAAGCGGAGGGTGCGGACCCTCTTGCGAGCGGCGGAGAAAATATCCGGGTATGTAAGAAAGGATTTTATTTTTCTTGAGGTGTTTGGGTTTGGAAACTGTCGCTTGCTGTTCCTGACACGGAAACTTCTGGGACTGGGGGCTCAGAGGGAGGAAGACGATGCCGATAGGTAGATCGTAGAAAGGAGCTGTCTTGCTTCGTTACTGCTGCTCTCTTTCTCGATCGTTTTTTGGGTTTTGGGGGGAAAGCGGTATGAGGTGGGTGGCGAGGCCGGACTCGCCGGAGGTGGTGAGGGTGAGCGAAGCCTTGCCCGAGTCCAGCTTCCGCGTGCTCGACTATGTCTTCTCGCAGGTACTCTGTTCGAACTTTGCCTCTTTGTTGCTCCAAAAATCAATATATCTTCTCTTCAAAATGCGATATTTTTTTTTTCTTTTTTGTTGTTTTATTTGCTTGTTATTTGGGGAGGGGGAATTGTACAGATGCTTAAAAAGTACAGTAAGTTTCGACTTTAATTTGGATTTGGTCCTCTTTTGCGCACTGCAACATGTTTTTTCCTCGCTTCTTGTGAAGCTCAGAATTAGTGAATGGAGCAAAGAGGAGAAGAACATACGATCCACAGTTATGGTTTACTAGATAAGGGGCGCTTAATAAAGATGTGAGTTAATATTGTTAATCTTCTCAACCATCAATGTGAGTGATAGAGAGAGAGAGAGAGAGAGAGAGAGAGAGAGAG